TATAGCGATGCTTGCTGTGTTGTGAAGGTGGGAGGGTTGAGTTGTCCTGTGCCGGTTCGGAGAGGGATTAGACAAGGTTGCCCTATCTCTGGACAGCTTTATAGCATTGCCATTGAGCCTTTTCTCTGTAGACTGAGAAGCAAGTTGAAGGGTTTCTCTTTGCCAGATATGGTTCAGAGCCCTCCTGTCATTGTGTCGGCATATGCTGATGATGTTAATGTTTTTATTACGGATCAGAAGGATGTGCAGGAATTGCAGGAATGTCTGGTTTTGTATGGGAACGCTTCCTCAGCTAGGGTTAATTGGAATAAGAGTGAGGCCTGCTTGGTGGGGCAGTGGAATTTGTCGAGTATTCCCAAGCTTCCTGGGAACCTCCGCTGGGGTCAAGGGGGCATTAGGACTCTTGGGGTTTACTTGGAGAGTGATGACTTTGTGAAGCAGATCTGGGAGGGAGTGCGGGAAAAGGTGGAGGCTAAGCTGTCTAAATGGAACCGGTTGCTCCCCTACCTGTCCTACAGGGGTAGAGTTCTGGTAGCTAACAATCTAGTTGCCTCATCTTTATGGCACAGGTTGCTTGTTTTAGTGCCACCACCTGGTCTTCTGGAAGAGGTGCAGCGGCTTCTGGTGAAGTTTGGTCGGGACAGCATTGGCTTCGTGCGGAGGGCCTGTATCTTCCTGTGGAGGGGGGACAAGGCCTGATAGATGTTTCATCCAGAACAGCAACCTTTAGACTACAGATGGCACAGAGGCTGCTGTATGGCTTTGGTCACAGCTGGCTGGCTTCTGTTCAGTTGCTGCTTAGGAGAGCGGGCCGGCTTGGTTTGGATAAACACCTCTTTCTTCTGAAGTTGGATCAAGTGGATCTGTCTGGACTTGTGCCATTTTACAGTTCGGTGGTGAACGCCTGGCGGACGCTGAAGGTCGCACGCGCTCCTGACCCCAGACCTGGGATGTGGCTTTTCGAGGAGCCGCTGTTTTTTAATGACTTTTTTCCCAGCACTGTGTTTTCTTCTGCTACAATAAGGTTTGTGGAGGCTGGCGTTGTCAAACTGGGTCATCTTACAAGGATGTCTATGGGTGCACTTGGTGGTGTCACAGGCATTAAGTCCTACAGAGTGCTGGAGAGAATTATGGAGGAAGTTTGGCAATCTCTGTCGCCATCACTGAGAGACTTTGCTGGAGACCGTGTCCTGGCTGATCAATGGGCTGATGACAGCGAATATGTTTTCCCTTCATTGATGGTCAGTCCTGCCTTTGAGGAGCAGCCTGAGGGAGTGGCATGCTGCTCTCCCTGGGGACACCAGTGCTGGATAGTTTCAGCTCTTGTTTTATTTTTTGTTTTTTTTTTTTTTTTTTTTTTTTTTTTTTTTTTTTTTTTTTTTTTTTTTTTTTTTTTTTTTTTTTTTTTTTTTTTTTTTTTTTTTTTTTTTTTTTTTTTTTTTTTTTTTTTTTTTTTTTTTTTTTTTTTTTTTTTTTATTCGCTCTTGTGGCAAGAGGCAGCTTTATTTATGTTGTGTTAAGATGCTGAATTTCCGCTCTCTGGTTGGAATCAGGGAGTCAAAATGGACTGAGTTTTTTTGCTTCGGTCTCTACCCCTAAAGGCAGGTGGAGGGTCCTGTATAAGCCTCCTGTTGAAAAACGGATGGCTGACCTCCAGTGGAGGATTATACATGGAGCAATAGCCACGAACAGACACAGAGCCCACCTGGACCCAAGCACTGGGGAGGGTTGTCCTTTTTGTTCAGAAAGGGAGACGCTGGAGCACTTAGTGGTCTGTTGTCCGCGGCTAGTGGGTTTATTTTCTTTGTTGCAGGAGTGGGTGGAATCTTTAGGGGAGACTTTCTCTGTACCTTTGTTTGTCTTTGGCCCTAAGTATTCAGTGCAGAAGAAGACAGGACCTTGGTTCTGATTAATTTTTTGTTTGGCACAGCTAAGCTGGCAATATGGAAACTAGGAAGAACCAGATGCTAGGTCAGGGTTGGACTGATGTTGTGCAAAGTCTAAAGGGCCTGTTGGCATCCCGTCTGAGAGTAGAGCATGCTTTTTACTCTCTGACTAATAGTCTGGACTCCTTTGAAACTATGTGGGGCATTGGAAGGGTTTTGTGTTCAGTAGGAGCAGATGGGACACTTGTGCTTAACTTTTGAGTGTGTGCTGGGTACCTTAGTTAATGGTTAGTGTGCAATGACTGTATTGATTGTGTGTTTGTTTTTTTTGTTTTATTTGTTCTGTTTAATCTGTGTAAATAAAGTTGTGTGAAAAGTCAAGCTGTTCTGCTGCTCCAAATCGCACTTGCCAGCGAGTTTTGGGGATGATTTGCAGGCTGCCTCACTGGAGTGCCCAAAAGCACAAGGTGTGCAATACTCAGAGACATGGCCAAGGTAAGAAAGGCTGAAAGACACCACCACTGAACAAGACACACAAGCTGAAACGTCAAGACTGGGCCAAGAAATATCTCAAGACTGGTTTTTCTAAGGTTTTATGGACTGATGAAATGAGAGTGAGTCTTGATGGGCCAGATGGATGGGCCCGTGGCTGGATTGGTAAAGGGCAGAGAGCTCCAGTCCGACTCAGACGCCAGCAAGGTGGAGGTGGAGTACTGGTTTGGGCTGGTATCATCAAAGATGAGCTTGTGGGGCCTTTTCGGGTTGAGGATGGAGTCAAGCTCAACTCCCAGTCCTACTGCCAGTTTCTGGAAGACACCTTCTTCAAGCAGTGGTACAGGAAGAAGTCTGCATCCTTCAAGAAAAACATGATTTTCATGCAGGACAATGCTCCATCACACGCGTCCAAGTACTCCACAGCGTGGCTGGCAAGAAAGGGTATAAAAGAAGAAAAACTAATGACATGGCCTACCTTGTTCACCTGATCTGAACCCCATTGAGAACCTGTGGTCCATCATCAAATGTGAGATTTACAAGGAGGGAAAACAGTACACCTCTCTGAACAGTGTCTGGGAGGCTGTGGTTGCTGCTGCACGCAATGTTGATGGTGAACAGATCAAAACACTGACAGAATCCATGGATGGCAGGCTTTTGAGTGTCCTTGCAAAGAAAGGTGGCTATATTGGTCGCTGATTTGTTTTTGTTTTGTTTTTGAATGTCAGAAATGTATATTTGTGAATGTGGAGATGTTATATTGGTTTCACTGGTAAAAATAAATAATTGAAATGGGTATATATTTGTTTTTTGTTAAGTTGCCTAATAATTATGCACAGTAATAGTCACCTGCACACACAGATATCCCCCTAAAATAGCTAAAACTAAAAACAAACTAAAAACTACTTCCAAAAACATTCAGCTTTGATATTAATGAGTTTTTTGGGTTCATTGAGAACATGGTTGTTGTTCAATAATAAAATTATTCCTCAAAAATACAACTTGCCAATACGTGAGTTTATGCTTGGGGGATCACGAGAGTTTTTTGCGACTCGGATTAAACAAATGCATATAAATTGAAATAAAGTTTTCCCCCGAGGCATGCAACCTGTATGTCTGGCCATACTGAATGTTACAAAAGCACAAGTTTAACTTGGACCTGTATCGGATTGGCCAACAGGGGTGCGAAGGGAGCCGCCCCATTGTTATGTGATTGGCAGCGGGGCGAAGTTAGGCGGAGTTGGTCTCCGGCGGAAATTTTCAAACGAGGTAAGCAGCATTCGGGAGCTGAGTGGGGAGCGAACAAGCAGGAAAAACTGTGCTCTGGAAGCGGTTGCAGGTCAGTGCGATTAAGAGCGAAGTAGAACTTAGACTCTGCATTGAATTTTAGAGGTTGCTAGTAAGAGGGATGGTTTTGAAGAAAAAAGACTAAGGATCTTTTGCCCTGTTTTCGAATATAAGGTTTTTGGGAATAGAGGGTAGCTAACAAGTTATTGTAGGCTTTTGGAGAAAATGCGGAGGATTTTTTAAAGGAGTTTTGCCTTTGCTCGGTGGAGGATCGGGGGGCGGGAGCCGCGGGGCGCTGAATTTCAGAAAAAAGACTAAGGATTTTTTCAGGATTTCCCCTGTTATCGAATATAAGGTTTTGGGAATAGAGGGGGTACCTAACAAGTTATTCTAGGGTCCGGAGACACGGGTGCGCCACCGCACGCCCAGATACACAGCCTCAGGCACGCGCGCACACACACACACTGACCCACCACCATGTGGCGCTTTTTGAGCAAAAAAAGTAAAAACATTTTTAATGGCTTAAAAAATAAAAGAATGCTATTTTGATATATAAGAAACTTTCTAAATAATCAATTAGTTGTTTTTTTTTGGGGGGGGGGGAAGCAATGAGCTATGAACTAGCATATTTTTTGCTGAATATCATATTTTTATGAATATCATATTTTTATTACTTCCTTTAATGCTTTATTACTTCCTACGGCCATAAAACTTTATTGCTGACCATAAATCACTTTGGGAGGCCATAAATCACTCAGTTTGACATAAGGGGTATAATATCACTCTCTTGGGTGCTCACTGAAGTCGAAGAGTTCAATGCAGACGATGATCCTGATTCACATACTGGTTGTAAGTCAAGGGTGATTACTGGCTCTTTAAGGATCACTTTAACAGTGGCCTTGTCATACAAGTCAGCAGTCGAGATGACACTGAAAAACTGATTGTCAAAGTCTTTGTCTTGGTATAGCAGTCCAAATTCCCCATGTATCCCCATCCACTGTATTAGGAATTCCTGTTGGAAGTGTCAACTTTTGAATGCTGTGTTCTTCTAAAATGACTCTTAACTGGACTGCCATTGTTGTTTGGTTTGTGTTTCTTCAGCTGTGGAGACAGAGAAAGAAAAGAAATTGAGACAGGTTATTAATAGTTGATAAGCTTACATGCATATATTTTCTTCATTATCTTCTGCCAGAGAAATAAAAGCAGAGATTTAGTTCAGTAGAATTTTGAATAAATAATTTTTGATTGTCATTTTAAGAAGAGGGAGATAAGGGCAATAGAATAGAGGAGGGTTAAGTATGCATCACATGTTTCCATTTTCTTTTTCAATGTTATATGTATTGTTCCTGTTAAATAAACATTACAATAAACAAATAAGACAGGACGCCCGCCCATATAGTTGTTGGTAAAATAATATATTTTTTCAATAATTTCAATAAGTGCACAAACATTTGATATAACAGAAATAATCAACCCATTACACTTACTCTGATGTGCAAATGAAGTGTTTAAGGGACACCATACGGCCATCTGCTGTATTGTATGCAGCCATGTTTCTTTCAGTTCAGAATGTTTAAGGATTTCTGTCTCTCCTGTGGGCTCTACTTTGAAACTCCTCAGGTGTTCACAGCCTCTAAGCAACTTCAGAACAAACACAGGAGTTCTGTGCACAATGATTATTTGATGGATTTCTGCAAAGTCAGGTAGGCCTCCTGTTGAGCCAAACGGCAGCATCATGCCAATATTATAGTCTGTGCCTAAAATGGTTGCTTTATTTGTCATGTTCACAAAGTCTTCCCTGGGGAACTTCCTTGCAAGGGACTCCTTAATGCTGTCTTTTAGAACATCGACTGCCACTGGAGTCTTCTGGGACACTGACAGTGCTGGCCTTTGGTGGTTGTAATCGTGGGTATGATACGCAATCATCGATTGGTGTTTTCTCGCCATTGTCATGAGGATGTTTCTAAAACACCCAGTCTGCCTCACAATCCTTTTAAAGAATCGATGTTTGGCTTCAAATCACATAGTCCAGAAATGTACAAGTGGCCCGTAAACAGTTGTAAGCAAAGGATAGTGCTCGAGAAAGTGATGTTTTGGTCTCAGTTTCTCCTCTGGGAACACTTCTAAATATCTGTAACGGTGTTCTGAGATCTTACTTTGCATGTATCCTATTGTGTGATCTGTGTGGAGAGGAGCCATGACAAGCTCAACAACATCTTTCAGGGTCATCAAAACCTCCCAAGCAGGCTCATCTTCTGGTACTTTGTCACCAATCATGAGTGGTATCATTCTCAACAAACACCAGTTTTCATGTGCATTACCTCCTACACTTTTTCGTGCTGTGAAATTTGGGGCAATGGGTTGTGGACAGTTTGTTTTGTCACTCCATTTGTAAGGAAAGCAACAGATGGAACGGTTGAGCTGCTCAAGAGATATGTATTTCTTCCTGATTAACACATCAAGACAGAGTGAAATTTCAACAGGTACAATCCCTTCAAGCAAATCATGCAAAGCATCTGGGGGATAACCTGATGTAGCATGAAAGTGACTGAGTCTGTCTGAGATTGGACACTGTCTTTTAACTCCACAGTGGTGAGCTTCTGCAGGATCAGACAGTGCTGCTTTGACATGGATGGCATAGTTGGACTTAGTCCGTAGAGGAAACAGTCCTTCTCCTACTTCATGCTCCTGGATCTGTGACCTTTCGCCAATGCAAAAGCGACAGAAATGTGAAGCTGAAAAGCTTTCAACAAACCCGCCTATTGAGTGAGCGCCAAGATTGTCAGCGACTACAGCAAGTACAGTGCCCTTGACCACTTTGCCCAGACTTGAAACAAAAATACCATTATCTTCAAAGGACTTCAAAGCTGTTTTCTCTTAGTAAAGATCCATCATTAAATGATTTGTATTCCAAAGAGACATCAGATGGCCTTTTGTTTTGTAATATTGTGTTTTGAATGTCTCTGTTGTCCACAAGTTGAGATAATAATGGGAGGATTGGTATATACTGAAATGTTTTATTATCTGTACTATCAAGTATGTACTCAACAGGTTCAGTCAATGAGAGATGCTCCTTTCTAAATTGTTCTCTCCTGAACTGACTGCTTAAAGGCCCTTCCACTCCTAAAGCAGCACAGACAGAGCTTAGCCGGCAAAGGTCTTTGACCCGTTCTGAAATCACTGAGTCTTCCAATGTACAGCCATGTTTTCTCAAAGTGCTCAGAATTATTTCTTTAATGACGGGACCAGATGCTGTAAGGAAATGAAGTTCCTCTATTAATTCGTCAATGCATGAATTGGAGACATTGAAAATGCTCTCTATTTTCAGGAGGAGTACCCCCACTTTCTTAGTAATAATTTTGTTTAAGTCCTCATCCTCCTCAAGGACTGAGCCACATTCATTGTCATCTTCAACAATGTCACATTCTTCGTCCGGGTTCTTTTGGTATTGATGAAGAACATTAGTCTTGAAATCTTCCAAGTGTGGGTTGTGTTTTCTACTCTTGTGGCTGTGGAATGTTGTGTATTTGTTAACCTTATAATCACAATCCTCAAAAACACATGGCACAGTTTCAAACATTTTTAGATGGCCACCAAGATGTTCATAAAACTGCCTCTCACTGTCAAAAGTGCATGAATTACAGACAATGCACGTGAATGAACGGATGTTGCCTGGCTGGGATGACTGTGAATGATGCCTTGACAAATGTGTCCTTAATGCACCCCATGTCTTGACAGTGCAAGGGCAATCTGCATGAAGGCAGGGTATGGAGTGGACTCGACCAAAATGCCCATGTATTTGTCATGATCCTGGGCCATGTTGGCCCAGCAGTCTTAGTATTCATGTC